ACGGCACTAGCATCCCGTATCGATCCAGTTTGTGTGCGTGTGGATACCGGTAGAGGCACGACGTTTGGAGTGCTTGAAATCTCGACTTGGTTCATTCATCCTTCCGCTGCAGAATAACCAGGTATATTCAAAGAACCTAAAGATCTAGGTTATTTCAGTATTAGCATGAGATTCTAGGCAAATAGAATTCATAAATTGACTTATAAATCGTTATAAACCGGTATGAATTTCCTACAATAGCTCCATCACTGACCTTAAGGGTATTCAAATGAAGCGTTTCTTTTCTTAGATTCGACATCGATGAGATTAAGGTCAATCTTCCTTCCTCTAATTCCATCTACTTCAAGGTTGGGTTTATCAACAAAAGGCTCAATATATTTCAGTTCAAAATTGTTCACTCATGCAAGACAATGGTGCATTTGGATCTTCTGAAGATTTACCGAAGAATTTTCTTCAGATTTTTAGAATCTGATTAAATTTTGTCTTTTTGAATTTGATCTAAAAGTTGTAAAGTTTATGGAATTCAGGTTCTGATTTGATGAATGAAATTGGCTAGTTTGGAACTTTTGTGTTTGTGTGGACACTCAACTTAATTGACCACGACTTCTTGTCAATCTACAACAAACCACAATTTCATTCACGCCTAACCACAACTATGTTTGCAATTAAGCACAAAAACTGCAACACCTAGCAAAATCTTAGGTGTCTTGGTGTTTTAGACGCCATCAACACCACGGAACGTGTAACCACAACCACGTAACCAGATAACCACAACTTCATTTACGCTTAACCACAACTAACGTGACCACAACAACGATTGCAACTCACAACAAACTCTGCAACACCTAATAAAATCGAGGATTAGAATCCTTACCACACGTCTCCTGAACAGATAAGATTTGTGTTCTTCCACCATAAAAACTAGGTGTAGACGAGCAATTACTACACACATGCACTATTTTTAGTAGGTTTGTACTTGCTTCACCACCAGCCGTCCGATTTCTTTTAAAATGTTCTAATCTAACGGTTCTTAATATATCCCTTAGAACTTACCTCTTGTTTGTGATAAGGGCATTTAAGGAATAAAAATTCATAAAGTAAGGTTCAAAGTACACCTCCATTGAAAAGTACCTAAACATGTTAAAGATCCAGAACAAAGTAACCTATTATGTAACTCTCTCATATAATGTTGACAAACCAAAAGAGAAATGTAGTTCGAGACATGCGTAGCTCCAGTATGCTAGCGTTTGAGAGATGTAGTTGGTAAGGTTAATTTTTAGATAGAGTCTCTCTCCTCCCTGCATTCTCTCTCGAGCTCGAAACTGTATTGAAGTTTTTCTCCAGTGTCCAGCGGCGCGTGACGGCGCCGGAGGATCACCTCTCCCCTTATTTCTCATCTTCTCTTTATTGTTGTCAGATCTATGTCTTCATTTCCGATATGCTCGCGATTCTACGGTAGGGTTTTTTCTCGGGGTCAAGTCGCGCGCGAGGCCTCTCGTCTCCGGTGACGTCTCTGCTACTGGCGGCTTTTCGGCGAGGTTATGAAGTGGTCTTTTCGACGTGTGGTCAGTTTTTAGGGCTCATGGTACGGATCGTTTTTCCATTCTCGATCTACCCGGAGCTCGCGTCATTGATGAAGGTATTGTTAGTCTGTCTCTAGAAGCTCCAATAAGGGCTTCGACGGTTTTCTTTTGGCTATGGGGGTTGGTTTCTCGAGCTCCTCTGGCGTCAGAGTTGTTCAGTGCGTTCTTCCTGTAGCTAAGTGAACTCCGATGCTTTATCAGATCGGAGGCGGGTCTTCGGTGGTTGCTCGCAGTAGGATATGGAGCTCCCCCCTGTTTCGGTCTGTGTGAATGTGCTTGTTATCGATAGCAAGTTGTCGTCTATGGCAGATTGTGGACAGCTCGCTCAGAAACTTCACTTCGGATCCCTTCTTCACGGCTCTATCTTCAGCTATTCATGGGGTGGCGTTTGTTCCCTCTTTGATGTGTCTCACTCTTTATAGATAGACCTTGTTCCATTGACACCGGAAATGAGTCTTAACAAGTTGGAAATGGCTGTTGGTTCTCAATGGTCACAAATGGTGAGGTGATGCTCAGTCATTCCCGCATTGGTGTCTCCATTTGGTTTTTGCTTACATACCAGAACCGCTTTAGCTCTTGAAGCTTGGTGGTGGTGAGCTGAACTTTCCTTTTAGGTGCTGGGACAAGCTAGGATAAGAGTGGTGTTGGCTCAAGTCCTCTTTTTTACAGGTTTCCTAGGTGGCAGTAGCGGGCACTTGCTCGATTTGAGATGCGTTTCAAGCGTCGGTGTCGTATACTCCTCGTCTTTGGTGGCTTGTGCAAGGTAGATGTATGTATCTGAAAACATCTCTTATGGTCGTCTTGCTCTTCATGGACAAAGAAGGTATAAGGTGGAGATCATCGGGGACTAGCTACTCTAGAGACTACTCGGGAACTTCCAGCAGCCGAGGTAATGAGGAGAACCCCACTTTTCAGAGAATCAAGTCAATGAACGGCTACCGATATCACAAAAATTCGAAAAACAACTAGCAGAATGTGTCGGGTTTAGTGGAGGGGGGAAGCTATGCTTATAATTGTTAGACTTTGATGCTTTTGTTCGAAGCAAGCTTGTAATAGGATCTGATTCCCGATTTGTCGGACGGTTTTAATATATAAAGTTTATTAAAAAAAAATTTTATGAGACAAGCGTAATTCACATAAGCCACAGACAATTCTACATCTACATACCAAAATGGGTCCTGACTTCTAAGCATAATTTTTTTTTTCTGTTTTGTGTAGATTGTTAAACTTGATCTGTATGTATGTTATTTTACACTTAGATGGATACCTAATGTTTCAATATATGTTAAAAGTACATAGAAAACATAATTTTGTGTCTTTTCTTTTGGATGTTTAAGTTTTATAGGACTTTTAGTTTCAACAATAAAATTAATGGTCTTATAGTTTTAGCACAAAATTTGAGAACTAAAGATGAGTTCGAAAAAACCCCTAACTCTCCCCTGAACGGGTCGGAGGTAACTTCTTCCTCTGCCACCTTCCCAACTCCGTGGTCCCCTCTCTCTTTTTTCTCCCCTCTTTCTATTTTCAATTTCCTTCTCTAGTCTCAACTGTTGCTTATCCCCCATTAACGAAAACAATATTTTTCCTCAAAGAGATTGTTACTTTGGTCTGGTCCGGGCAAGATCCATTCAGTCTCTCATTCTTCTACTAGACAATCCTTCGTTCTAATCTCTAAGATCATTGGATCTGAAAATTTACTATTCTCGTAGTTACTATTCAAGATAACTTTAAGGATTTCACTGTTCACCCATCTTCTCTCACCTCAAACAAGACATCCTCTGTGAAATATAACACCACTTCCACCTCGTCTACCCCCAACTGTGGGAAACAAAATTCGTACTGCCGATTTCCGTAAATAAAAGAACGTTAAGTTACCCTAACTTTCCCAAAGGTCCCGAATATCTGCTAAACCACACGCCAAACAAGCAAAATACGAAGATAAAAACAAGTAAATATAAGAAATCGAGAAAAGAGCAAAATAAGTCTTATTCTGAATTCGTGTGTAAGCATTTACAACAAGGTAGAAACCTTGGCTACGAGAGCTGTCGGCGATATCCCTAATTCTAATAACCTAAGACTACAAAACCTAGTTGAGTCGCATCTCGAATAACAAAAATTGGAAGTTGCCTAATGCTCTAAGTGCTAAGTTTTTTGTTGTGAAAAAGTCTCTCTTTTGCCTCTTCCCTAAGACTCCTTATATAATTCCTCCTAGGTCGGTTTGCGCTTTCTCCATTTTGCCCTTAAGCCGTCATAGCTTGAAAATGGATATATTCTATTTTTCCCGATCTTCGTGATTATCTTCGGAAACTGGACATTTATCCGCGGAAAGTTGACATTTATCTGCAAAAAACTAACATTTATCTTATCGTGTGAACAAGCATAAACCATCATGCTGTCTGTGGGATTTTAGTTAAGAATTCGTAAGTGGGCTCCGAATCGTGTTTTAGGTCTCTTTGGGTCGTCTTTCGACTCGTAACATTTATTACGGTTTCTTCGATAAAAATGAACTTCTGCGGTTTTTATCGTAAAGTTCAACTGATGAATCCGATCGATAAGGAACAAGGAGTAGTTAAGTCATGAATTTCGGGAGATTGTAACAAAGAGTAGACGAGATTGCATAAACTTATGTTGTAATGAAGTTTGATCTACGCTTTTCACGAATCTTTTCGAAGAGTTTTCCGCAAGGATTCTTTTTAGAGAATTACTTTTCTAAAAAATTTCCTTATCCATTTTCCGAGGGTTTTTGAGCGTTAAATTCGACGTGACCGTTTTTGACCCCAATAGCTAGCCCCCCAACACATTAGAATCATGGACGGCTGTGAAGATTCTAGCGTGTAGTTTAGACAAGTGTGGCAAGTTGGACAGAGTTAGCACTTAAAAATCTGCAAATGAAAAGTAACTTTTCATGCTTATAAATAGATGGAGTAAGTTCTCATCCTCCTCACTTGTTCATTTCTACAATATTTTGGTGGATGATTTTATGCTGCCCGGATGGAATCCGGATCTTGCTTTTGGTGATGGTAACGGTTCTAGCGAGATGCCTCCTCTGAATTTTGACGAGTTTTTCGAAGGCCTTCTCCCGAGTTTTGATTCGCTTCCGCCTGCAGAAGAATGGGCAAGGCCCAAGGTGGTCGCAGAAGGGTCTCATTGGATTAACGTGGTCAATTTTTCGTTTACCCTCGGGCCTTTGTCAACGTTGTAGCAGAGTGTTCTAACCCGTTCGGCTCTCGAGGCAAGTCACCGGGAAGCGCAGGTCTATCGTTTCAAAGAGAAGAAGGCAGAGGCTGATCTTGCGGGCATCCAGAGCGAAGCCTTGGCGCGAGACTCAAAACTTGCTAAGGACCATGCACATGCCATCCGTCGCGCTGAAAAGAAAGGCAGAAGGGAAATCGCCGCTGTCATGAACAGCTATGCTTCCCAATCCAATGTTGCGCTTGGCAATCTTACGGAGGCTCAGTCTTTGGCGGGTGATTTTTGCGAGTGCCGTGGCTCGTATTGTACCTTTTGGAAGGCGCAGTCGGATGATTTTGATTTTCTAAGTGAGTTGGGGATTATGAAGAGTGGCATGTATGACAATGCTCATGCCGAGGCATTGGTTCCTCCGATCGAGGAGAGACTCCGGGGATTCTCGGATCCCATTCCGGTTTCTCCCGATACGAAAGAAGCCGCGACCGAGGCAGGTGATGGTGAGGAGGTGGATCGCCCTGCGAGCGTTTTTAGAAGTTCCATGCCTAGAAATTTTGAGTATGATTACGATTCTTGAATATTTGATGGGAACGTTTCTTTCCCGTGTGTATTTATGGTTGTGTGTGGCCTTATGTATTTAGACTTTGCGCAGGCCTACTTGGGCGTTTATGTCGGGACTGGCCGTTGGTGGCTTCGAATCCTGCCGCCTGGACGGCTTTCATGTATGAAAAACGTTTTATCTAGCTTGATGTAAGGTTAAACTATGTTATGTGTAAAGGGAAGAGTACGAGTTATCATCTCGTATCTAACTCTTTTTGTAGATCGTCTTGTTTGTGTGCTCTTCTTAGGATGTTTGAAAATGTTTCAAATTTTCGTGAGCGTTTAGATATGACCGAAGAGGCATGCTTTTAGGATCTCAATACCATGCTTTGAGACATTAGAGACCAGTGTGCTGGGTTTAGGGTAAGTCCGAGGTTTACTTTCGTTTTAAGGCTTTATGTGGTGACTAACTGGCTATCTATTTGTCTGTTGCGATTTTATCCTGATTCATACTGATTTAAAGTCTGCGATAGGTTCTCGGCTTATACAACCTGTATCGTAAGAATCGAGCATCGAAATGCTAACCAAAATTTTGGATTTCTTTTATAGCGCACTATTTATCCTAGTCAGATGTATGAGAACCAGTCCCTTAGAACGGGCCTAATACGTTTGTTTAAGACGGCTGGTGTGCTCAGAGGGGCCAATCGACGAGCATGTTTAGTTTATCGTCGCGGGTGGACTTGTGAATATTTTTTCAAAAACTTTACGCAAAGTCTTGCTCCTTTTTTCGAAAATATAGTTTGGAAACTGATACGGGCGACTTGATATATTTTGGTCAAGGCGACCAAGAGCTAAAGCGAAACATAGATAACGTGTTGCGAAAGCGTAATTACTTCCGAAGATGTTTAGATTCGTTTTAGAGAAATTATTTTGCTCGTGTTTGAATGTTTTTTGCGAAGAGATTTTGCGATATTCTAACTTTGTCATTATTGAAAAGTTTCAAAAATATCGAATACAAAGCAAATATTTTAAAAATAAGAGTATAAAAATATTTGTATATGTACTCATCCCCCCCCCCTTTAAAGAGGAGTACAGCTGAACTCGTCTTTTGACGAGCGCCTACGTACACCTTTCGGGAATCAAGCCATCTCATAGTTCTGATTGTTTGTGCTAGTGTGTTTACTCGGCTACTGTAGATGCATCGATCACTTTATGCGCTGGATCGGTGTCTTCTTCCGGGGTTATCTCCTCTGGTTGGGTAAGAGCGCTGGGTTCGGAAACTCGTTGTTTCTCGACCATTGCATGAAGTGTTGGTTTGGGGACGCTTTCTGTGGCTGGTAGAGTTGATTTCGCCCGTTCCAGTTTCACGATCGCAATAGCTATTTGCCTTAGCCTGTGTTCCGCCAGGGAGCAGGATCATGACTGTCTCCGACATCCCCAAATTGCCGCTATTCCCGTAGGAATCGGAAATTTGATGCCTAAGTGGTATGTCGACGGAATTGCTTTCATAGCATTTATCCAAGGTGTGCCCATGATCATGTTGTAGATGGCTGGTCGGTCGACAACCATGAAAGTAACGATCTTAGTTACTTCTTTCGCAGTAACTGGAAGGTTGATCGAGCCGAGAGTCATTGTCGTCTCGCCAAAAAAACTGGTCAATGGTTTCGGCGTTGGTTTAACTTCTGCGAGGTTGATGCCTACCCGCGTCAAGGTGCCGCGGAAGATTACATTGACGGTGCTTCCGGTATCGACCAGGATTCGGGCGACTTCTACATCTCTTATTACTAAGTCGATGACAAGAGGATCGGCATGCGGTTGGTCGATGCCGACCGTTTCCGCTTCTTCGAAAGTGATCGCACAGTTCTGAGTATCGCACGGTGGCATTGGCCAGTTTGCGCTTGTCTCGGCCTTTTGTTGGTAGGATTTGATAGATAAGATTGTGTCGCTGTAGAATTGGGACCCGCCAATGATCATGTTTACCATGCGACTGTTACTATCGTTTCCTCTCTCATCTTGCATCCTTCCGAATTTCTCACCTGATTGATTTTCTCGAGGAGAGTTATCTACCTGCGAAGTTTTGCCGGTTTTCGGGGGGCGGTCTAAGTCGCGGACGAGGTCCTTACGCTGGATATTTTGGAGAGTTCTCCTGCAAGCAGTTTAGTGGCCAGTCTTGCTCAGAGAACTTTGCATTTAACAGTCGAATGGCCTCGGGTCAGGTGGAAGTCGCAAAAGGTATTCTCGTCGTAACTCGAGTTCATGGTCCATGTGTTCCCAAAGTTTTCTCCTGCTCTGATCCAGATTTGATAGCGTAGTTATGTGCTCCTTGGAGATCATGTCCTTCGTGATGGACATATTTGTCGTTACGAAGGTTTTTCTTCTTAGATTTCTGATCGGACGTAGCATCTTTCGCAGATGTTTTCATTGGCTTATGCTGTTCCGAGAGAATCTTTGTCTCTTCTTCGATGATGATGTAATTGGTAGCCTTGTGGTGCGCTTCCCAACTCGTGCGAGGCTTCTCGAGAGTAATCCACTTTCTAAATTTTGATTTGAACCAGAGCGACTTTCTAAGCGCATCGATGGCCGCTCTGTCTCTTATTCTGCTAACCCTAGCCATGATGAGCTTGGATTTACTCATAAAGTCGCGGAGGGGTTCATCTTCCTTCTGGGATAAAGTCCAAATGTCGGCGTCGGAAGTTTATTTATTTATGAACATAGAGTACTTCTTGAGAAACTCCGAAGCGAGCTGGCGGAAACTCCCAATGGATTTTCGCATAAGTCGCTTGAAGGTGCACTTTGGGGTGAATTTGAAATTTCACCGCTTTTACCTATGCGGCCGTTTTTGTGATGTAATCGCGTAGATCGCATATCTCAGGATTGGTGTCAGCAGTTTTCCAACCTCGTCAGCGCTTGCTGAAAGTGACTTGAATAGCTCTTCGGCCATCTTCTTCTGTTCCATACAGAAGATCTCTTCTTCCTCTTCGGTTAGAGGGTGTTTGGGAGAAGATTCGCGTCGAGTGTAGGATATTTTCTCCTCCTCGGATGGATGTCAGCGTCTTCATCCGATGGATCAGAATGGTCTCTTGTTTCCAGATTAACCTGCTCGACACAATCGCCCTCGGCCTCCTGTTCACGAGAAGGAGGGTTTGTCGAGTCTTTTTGCGTTGCATCAAGGTTGTGTTGTTCTGAGGCTTGCCCCGCTAAACCTCCCTGTGCGTTTCTGGGATGATCCAAGGGAGTCGCAAAATCGAGTCGCCTTCCGCGAAGCCTTGTAGTTCCGCGGGGACGGAAATCCTTGGTCTTCGCGGTTAGGGTTTCAACCTGTTTTCGAGAGATCCGATTAGCTTATCCTACTCATCCGACTTCTTTTGGACGGCGGTGAGTACATCTTGGAACGCTGCAATGTTAGCGTTAGCATTACCTATGGATGCCTTCGCTTGTGGAGTGTCGGTAACGTTGTCGTAGATGTTTTCGTCGTCACAAGTTAGTTTTTCTTTTGTCATCGTATCGGATCGAGCGTGTTGCAGCTTGTGAGTTAGATAGATCCGTAACCCCCCTCCTTCTAACACCAAAATGTGGGATCCAAAATTTACACTGTCGATTTCCGTAGATTAAGGAACGTTAAGTTAACCTAACTTTCCCAAAAGTCCCTGATATCTGCTAAACCACACGCCAAGCAATTAGAATACGAAGATAAACACAAGTAAATCTATGAAATCGAGAAAAGATCAAAATAAGTCTTATTCCGAATTCGTGTGTAAGCATTTACAAGAAGGTATAGACCTTGGCTACAAGGGCTGTCGGTGAGATCCCTAGTTCTAATAACCTAAGACTGCAAAACTTAGTTGAGTAGCAGCTCGAATAACAAAAACGAAAAATTACCTAATGCGCTAAGTGCCAAATTTGCTGTTGTGAAAAAGTCTCTCTTTTGTCTCTCGCCTAAAACTCCTTATACTTCCTCCTAGGTCGGTTTGCGATTTCTCCCTTTTGACCTTAAGCCGTCATAGCTTGAGAAATTTAATAGGTGGACAGCCAAATCACTCTCTTTTGCTGGAAGGTTACATTTGATTAATACGGTTATTGCGGAAATATCTAACTTTTGGTGTTCTACTTTACAATTCCTAAATAGTGCATCAAGGTTATTAACTCAGCTAGAGGAACCACGGAAGGGCACCATTCAGCTAGAGTCTTGTGGGAAACCATAACTTTATCAAAAGTTAAAGGTGGTCTTGGTGTTCGTGATCTTATCTACTGGAACAAATCCTACTTAATCAAACTGATATGTCTTCTATTCTTCAAGGCATGTTTTAATTGGGTGGCATGGTTCACAAAGCATATCCTCTCAGGTAACATAGGCAATTTTTGGACCCTGCGAGAGAAGCAATCACAATCTTACACTGTCAAGAAACTTCTTAGAAGCCATGATTTGGTCTACAAATGGATAAAAGTTGAAATAAGCAATGGTAGAAATAACTTATTCTGATTTGAAACTGAAGCTCGTTTGACAGCATCAAAGATTTCCTAAACCTACCCCCAACATCAACTCTGGGTACGTGACTGAACGTTATTATCTCTAACATCAATCGTAATGGAACCTGGTCTCTCCCTAATCCAAGATCAGAGGAAACGCTTGCGCTTCATACCCATATAACAACTATCTCTCTCTCGGCGTGTCCTCAGGACAAACATTTATCAACCTACTCAATGGATATGATCTATAACCTAGTCAAGCTTCATAAGCCTCTTGTTCCATGGTTTAGTTATGTATAGACAAAAAAAGGAATACCAAAGAAAAACTTCTTAACTTGGTTGATGGTATTGAACCGATTCCCAACTAAAGACTGGATCTTGGGATGGGTTCTTCAAACAAATCCAACTTGTTTACTCTGCAACAATGCGGCTGAATCAAGAGCACTTGTATCTTGATTGCTCTTTCTCTTACGTTGTCTGAGAATCTCTTGCTGGTAAAGCAGGATGCGTTCCCTAAAGAAAAAGGTCTCAATCTCTCCATTGCATGCAATCAGTCTATCTTCCTAAACA